CATAATTAACAGAGTTCTGATACCAAGGATTGAGTATAGAATGCAGCATAGCTCAATAAGTTTGCACTCAAGTAATCTTCTCTCAACTCACCTCAGGAAAACACTTAAACAAGCTGCCAAGATCGCGAGAACGATGCCAAATACATTGATACATCATAAAGCTATCTATAGAATCAAGAGCATCCGTGAAATCCAAATAGAAAGCCAAATTTCCAGCTTTACAAATCAAATTAACAACACAGATTACGCCGGCACATCGACTCTCATTCGACTTAAGCAAGCGCAAATAAAACACTGGGAGCCAGCAAACATACTCTCAGACAACACTTCCCACAACTTATATAAGAAAAACTTCTCAGCCCAAATACTCAAGATGGTCAATAAACTGGATATTACCTTCTCGGATTCATACTGGAAAGATTTATTTCAATGGGAGGAAGGACATATTACAATCAAAACCTTGCTTAACAATGCTAGAGTCTATGACAAGGCAATAAGTTCATTAAAAAAGTACAATATAATGTTTGTAGACCAGCTCATTGATAAGGAGTCCAATATGTTATTAAACTGGAAACTAATTTAAGATTCCCAAGTTTGTGGACGAGGATCTGTTCCCTTCTGGTTCCAAACAGTGAAGCAGATTCTAGCAAATGAATTTGGAGTATTGAAAACAACTTGGGCCAATTACAACTGGTTACCACAAAATAGATCACTTTTCATAATAGAAAGAATAACAAATCCAAGAAAATGGAACTAGCAAGTAAGTATGGAAAAGATCAACAAAGAACTCTATTGGACCAGGAACAAAGGTACACTAGCAAACAATAGCAAGGAGATAGAGTATTACCAAATCAGTTTGGGCAGACTCCCGGGAACAACAGAATTTATCAGGACACAGTTGGCACACAGAGATATTAAAGAAAATCATAAGCTCACATTTGCCTGGATCAATAATATCAAAAAATACAGGTGAAATAAGAAACCAACTATTCCAATAGACGTTCATACATTAGAGAACCTGGTCATAGCTAAAATGAAAAAAGCATATCCGCAAAACATACCCACATCCAAACTCCAATTCATAGAGATCAAAGATTATGATAAACAAATCATACAAGACAATATACTTGCAGGGAATCATCGTGAGCTGCTACTTCAAGAATACCACCTTAATGTAATCAAAAACCACGCAGGCCCCCTCCAATTCTATACAGATGGATTGCTAGGACACACACAAGATTGATCCTTAAGAATGGGTGCAGCATGGATACAGACCAAAGGACCCAACCCCGGAAGATCATTTCAAGCAGCTGTAGACAATTGGCCCTCTTCAACTAAAGCAGAACTGGTAGCAATCATCCTAGCAACCCTGTTAACGCCAAACGATAACATAATAGAAATAAGAACAGATAGCTCTTTCTGTATAAATTTTTATGCAAATGTAATTAAGCCGCATTCCAAAGATACTCTCAAAAAACAAATGAAAAAACCAAACTGGCAACTCTGGTTAAGACTGGCTGATATAATAACAAAGAAAAAGGTACAACTAAAGCTTACCAAAGTTAAGGCACATAACAAAAACTTTAATAATAACCAGGTGGATCAGCTGGCAAAAAAAGCAAAGGAGGAACCAGAAATATAATGGAGGCCCCTTTCCACAACAGTTTTTATTACAGTGCCAAAATGGAACAGGATTCCTATTGACATCTCAACCAGAACATTTCTCAAGAATTATAATGAAAGGGAAATTCTTATACAGTGGACATCAGTAGATTGCAGTATATATATATTGCGATCTACTTGCTTTAGATTGTTACCTACTTATGAGTATATTGTGATCTAATTATAAGTAAATACTTATTTTGATATCTATTTAGCTTAGGTTATAATATAGTCTATATTATAATTTTGGCCACATTCGAAAGTGATCAATCTTATAATTCTGGCCACATTCGAAATTCAAAGGTGGTCGATCTCATAATTTTGGCCACATTCGAAAGTGGTCGATCTTATAATTCTGGCCACATTCAAAGGTGGTTGATCTCATAATTTTGGCCACATTTTTGATGACAGAAATTGGTCACTGTCGTCATGTTCATTTATGTAAATTTTATATACAGTATCAGCTTATTGTTTTTAATCGATTTCTATTATAAATAGATGAGGGAGTAGGTTATGACGAGCAATAGGTGACTCTCCTATATTAGGTCCTAACTCATTTAGAACCTCAAATTGATAACATTACTTGTATGCTAGTTTGGTAATCGTAACTGATTTCCGTTGCAATAAAATAGCTGAGGTATGTTATGCTACCGGGTTGGCTTTATTGCGAGTTTGATGGTCCCAATTGCGATTATATTGTCATTTCTAGTCAAAGTATATGCTATCTAGTTTGTTATATACATGCTATATACATGTTATCTGGTCATGTTATATACACGCTATCTGGTTATGCTATCTTAGAATGACGCATAAATGCTATCGGGTTGCTATCAAACATGTGTCACGTAATTGCTATCGAGTATGCTAAACATATGCCGATTTCGATTGCCAAATTTTTGACACACGCTGTCATTAGATGTTACTAGTTGTTTGCAGGTACTTGTGAGAGAACTCGTGACGGCTTTTTGAGAGTTTTGAATCTTTTCGTTTCTTTCTTGATTACTTGAGTGCAAACTTATTGAGCTATGCTGCATTCTATACTCAATCCTTGGTATCAGAACTCTGTTAATTATG